TAATACTTCCAGAATACATCAGGTAACCAGGTTTATCATATCCACCGGAATAGACCCTTCTAGAAAATAGAATCACCCTGCGTATAGCCACACGAGGCTATTGGCTTTAAGGGATTATGGCAGGATCACGCTGGATATAGCACGCCAGTACATCCCGAGCCTGGTCGGTGATATAATTATAATAGCGGAATAAACCAAAGGATCATGGAAAATGGAGAATAGGAAACCAAAGAAGATGGGATAAAAAGAGCGATGAAATAGAAAGGAAATAGGGAAAGGGACAATTGGTGTAACGGGATCGTACTCTCACACTTCCCCCCCTCAAAGCTGGGTGGTAGAAGTAACACCCTGCTTGACAAGGTAGTCATGATGAGGACGACGGGTGTTACCCATGTCGGTCTCAGGTACCCAGCTGTCCTCAGAAGGATCATAACCCTTCCAACGAATGAGAAGCTCCACGACGCCATTCCGACGACGGCGGTGTGCAAGCATGGACTCGACCTCGTACTCGGGTTTATTCTGGACGAGGACGGGCGGCGGCGGCGGCGGTTGGCGTCCGGCTAAGATCGTGTTCGGATCCCGATAGGGCTTCAGAAGTTGGACATGGAAGGCGTTGTGAATCTTCTAGGTAGCTGGCAGGCGTAAGTGGAAGGTAACAGGAGTGACCTGTGCTTCAACGAGGAAAGGCCCGCAGAAGCGAGGTCGAAGTTTAGATGGGAGATGGCTGATGTCAAGGTTGCGGGTGTCGAGGAGCACTTGGTTTCCTACGGTAATGGTGTGATCGTTGCGATGGCGATCGGCCTGGCGCTTCTGTTGCTGTTGGATGTCGAGGAGGCGCTTGTGGGTCCGATCCCAAAGCTGATGCATGGTTGTGATGAAATCGTGTGCAGGTTGTACTGTAGCTGATGTTGTCGGTTTTTGTGGTGTGAGTGGGTGGTGTTCGTAGCAGAGGAAGAACGGTGTCTGTCCAGTAGCCGCATGAGTAGCGTTGTTGTAGGCAAACTCGAGAACGGGTATGTGTAAGTCCCATTTGGAGATCTCGTCCTTGCAGGCTGCTCGGAGGAGTTGCTCGACAATCTGGTTGAGGTGCTTGGTCTGTCCGTCTGTCTGCGGATGGTAGGCGGATGAACTGGCGAGTTTGGTCCCGAGAAGAGACATTAGTTCCTTCCAGAACTTGCTGGTGAACTTGGGGTCTCGGTCGGAGATGAGTCTGGTTGGAATGCCATGTTGTGAGATGATGTAGCGAACGAAGAGTTGTGCTGTTTCTTCGGTGCGTGCTGTCGTGTGTGTCGGGATGAAGTTTCCCGTTTTGGAGAATTTGTCGATGACGACAAGGATGGCGTCATGACCGCTGGTGGTAGGTGATAACCCGGTGATGAAATCCAGGCTAACCACTTGCCATGGTTGTTCTGGGATAGGAAGAGGCTGCAGTAGCCCCGCTTTCTTCTGCTTGCTGCTCTTCATCCGTTGACATGTATCACATGAGGTGACGGATTTCTGAACATCTTCTGCCAAGCGGGGCCAATAGTAGTGCTTTGCAATACCGGTCAGTGTCTTGTTGCTACCAAAGTGTCCTGCGTATAGGACATCGTGGTATTCTTCGAGTAGTAACTGGCGCAAAGGAGGGTAATTGGGAACCCAGATTTTCGTAGATCCCTTCCGGTACACGATATCACTGTCCCAATGTAGCAGGTGTCGCTTCTCTGCCAAGGGAATTTCGGGGTCGATGGTGTACCCGTTTGTGAAGAGTCCCTTGAGTAGTGGATTCATCCCCTCAACCTGGAGAGCGGTGAAGTGTGCAGGCCGGCTAAGAGCGTCTACTTTGTTTTTGTGGCCGGGCATGTACACGATGTCGTAGTGGAAGTGTGTCTCGAGGAAGTCAATCCACCGGACCTGCCGCCTGGAAAGGTTTGGTTGTGTCTTCAAATATTTCAGGCTGCAGTGGTCGGTGTAGACAGTTGTTCTTCGTCCTTCGAGATAACATCTCCACGCTTTGAAGGCGATGACGATAGCAAGGGCCTCTTTGTCGGGTATCGGATAGTTTAGTTCTGCCCCATGTAGTTTTTTACTGAGGTATGCGATTGGTTGCAGTCCATTCCCCTGGTCTTGCATCAAGACTGCTCCCACTGCTTGGTCGCTGGCGTCAACTTCGATGACGTAGTCGCGTTCGGGATCTGGCACGATGAGTACTGGTGCGGACGTGAGTGCTTGTTTCAGCTGCTCCACGGCTTTCTGATGCTTCGTCTCCCATTTATAGGGCGTGTTCTTCTTCAGCAGATTCGTGAGTGGTGCTGCGAGTTTTGCGTACTACGGCACGAACCTGTTGCAATAATTAGCGAAGCCAAGGAACTGCTGCAACTCCTTCACGTTCTCGGGTATCTTCCACGTGTGTACGGCTTCGATTTTCTTGGGGTCGACGTGAACTCTTTGAGCGCTCACCATGTGTCATAGGAGTTGGACTTTCTTGAGGGCGAATTCGCTCTTGGACAGTTTGACGTAGAATCGTTCTCGTGGAAGAATCTCGAAGACGCGTCATAGGTGTTCGACGTGCTGTTTCAAGTCGCGTGAGTAGATGAGGATGTCATCCAGGTATACCACCACGCATTCGTCCAAAAGTGGCCATAGAATATGGTTCATTTCGGCTTGGAACGTTGCCGGTGTGTTGGTGAGTCCGAACGGCATTACCAAATACTCGTACGATCCGTACTGAGTTCGGAAGGCAGTTTCATGGATGGAGTTATCCGCCATTCGTATCTGGCAGTATCCGGACCGCAGATCCAGTTTGGAAAATACCGTAGCTCCTCGAAGCTGGTCAAGCGGTCATCGATGCGTGGTATGGGATATTTATTCTTGATGGTCGGCTTGTTGAGAGCCCGGTAGTCGATGCACATGCGCAGGCTTCCGTCCGGTTTCAGGGTGAAGAGCACTGGGGCACCATATGGCGAAGTTGATGGTCGGATGAGCCCTTTGGCTAGGAGATACCGGATCTGTTTTTTCATGTCGGTCAGCTCAGTGGGGCTGAGCCGATATGGTGCTCGGAAGGTCGGCTTCGAACCCGGTTCCTCCACGATCTCAAGTTGATGCGTTCGGTATGGCGGTAGCTCGTTCGGAAGATCGTCGGGAAGGACGTCCTGGAACTCTTTCAGTAACTCTTTGTTTTTTTGTGGAGGTTCCGAGTTTTCCTCTCCGTCGTTTTCCACTTCTGTTGCTATCGCCAGGAACCCGGTGTCGGTCCTCTTCACGTCCTTCTCGAATCGTGTGAGTGTCTCCACTGGGATATCTCCTGTATCGTCCCAGTTAGGTAGCTGTACTCTCCTTTCATTGTTGTAGATACTTGCGGTACGGTTCACCCAGTTGATCTCGGGATTGAATCTTTTTAGGAAGTCTTGCCCGAAGATCAACTCAAGCCCTTTGATGTTGGTGATGGAAAGTGCAGGTCTCCAACGCAGTGGTCCAATTTGTAGGTGTAACACTACTTCGCCGTGTACTGGTAACTTGCTTCCGTCCACCATCGTTGCAGAGAATCCTGAAGGCTTGTACTCTTCTCGAAGTTGGTCGATTACTGCCTTGTCGCAGACGGTGTGCGATGCTCCGCTGTCCATGAGTGCTTGGAGGCGTCGTCCTTTGCAGATGACCTCGAGCACGAGGGGCGGGCGTCGCTCGGAGTACCCAAAGATAGTTTCATTTATAGGGTCATAGTGTACATCCCAATATTCCGTACACACCTTTTTGTTGCTATCTACTCCTGAGCTGGTAGCTGGCCAAGGCTGCTTGGAGAACGGCTCTTCTCCAAGGCCCGGAGTTTCTTTGACGACTGTGCGCGTCATTGATGCCGAATTTGCTGAACTGGATGCATCCGGAGGAGGAGTTCGGGGTTTTTGTAGCTTCTTGTAGACCCCCAGCTTCCTCTTGAGCTGCTTCAGCTCCATTGACGTCTTCCCTGGGAACGGGTAGTCGTTGTGGGCTGGTGTCGGGAGAGGACGTTGACTCCGTGGAAAGGTCAGCTTCTTTCTGCAGTTGACGCCACTGCAGGAACCGACGACCGAGCCTCTGAAGATGGCGCGAGTCACGACGCTGCAGAATCGTCGAATGGTGAATTTTCTCGTCAGATGGCGCGATCGGACGTCTGAGGATGATAGCTGGGTGCCCCTCGCTGATATAGAATCACATCCGATTCTCACAGCGTATTATCAGCGTCGGACTGTTTCCGATGCCCGCGGCCTCGTTTAGGAGGGGAGGGGGGGGGGGGGGGGGGGGTAGTGTAAGGAATTTCCATTCCTTACTAAGTCGTACGCTAGCGCGTGCACCCGAACTCCTCGACTCGTCACGTTCGGCCTCATTTGTCGGCCCAACCCTTTCCCGCGTCGCGTCCGACACTGTCGCTACATTGTTGAACCTACCCACGTTCTGAGGTTATCGCCTAGCAATCCACTCCCTACATAACCTCGTGCCTTCATTGCAATAGCGACCTTGTATTCTCACGTTATATTTAATTGACACTTACTATATCATAACAATGCCCGAACAAGACGCGCCCAGCTCACACCCGAAATTAGCGGACACAGGCGCCTGTTTCCAGGTACCTCCGCACGACAAAAATAGACCACACAAAAATCCAGTTTGCCAACCAGTACCAGCACCACCTCTAGCGAAATTCTCTAGCGACACTTTGCAGCCTTGCACGTCGCTAGCGAAAAACCTACCCCCGCTGCGCCGATTGGCCCTCATTTTGTTACACGCTCATCGCACTGGTTTCGCATGGCGAGACCCCGTTACCCACTCCTATGTCTGTGCTGGTCTCGGTGCTGTCCTTTCGAACTGCACCCTTCATTTCGGGCCTGTTCCCAAATCGGGATCTGTTTCAAAGTCGATTCACATTGCGTACCGTCAAATGGCTCTGCGTGTCAAAATCGGGAAAACGATTTTTGGGGACACGCCCTAACACCACCACCGCGTTCCAAAACATTGAGCACCTAACTAGTCTGCGACATCTCGCAGTCCCGTAGCAGACCTACTCAGCGGACAGCGCGTCTCGGCGCGATGGACGAAGATGGCGGAATGTCGCTGTTTGACGGGATGGACTTCGTCGATCCCTCCATGCTGCACTCCCAATCCGACGCCAGCCCCACCGTCGATGGCGTCGATGCCGTCAATACTGCTAGTAGCTCGCAATCTCCGGCGCCTAATTCCCCCTCTGTCTCTCCCCCCGCTGAGTCACAATCCGAGGAGCTTCTTTCAGCAGGCGATCAAGAGAAGCCGAATTTCTCTCCTCAAGCCCGGATAGAGACGTCCACATCCGAAGACACAGGAGACGCGAGAAAGTCCATACCGTTAGATCCTTCGCTGTTCACTTCGCCGTCACCAGCCCCACCAGCAGCCACTTTAGCAGCCGCGTCACCAGCCCCAGCAGCAATCATTGCGGGATCGGCGGCGGGTAGCCCGTCGGTCCTCTCTCCCGCGGCTGCACTTGCCGCCCTCTCTCCCTCCACCGCTGTCCTCTCGCCGTCCCTCGCTTCTATAACGGCGACAGCGGGCAGCGTCGGCTCACCCATTAGCGGCTCACCCAGGGCTAGCGTCACGCTGGTTGACTCGTCGGCCTCCTCAGGCGGCTCGTCAGCCGGTTTGACCGCCAAGCCTGCTGGCCTGGTTCGGAAGAAGAAGCGTAGCATCAGGATCGGGTACGCGCGGGACTCTTCTGAGGAGTCGGCGGGATTGGCGGCAGGATCTGCGGAGGCGAATGGCAGCACCCATGCAGCAGGCCTGGCGGGTTCAGGTAGCCAATCAGAGATGGATGCTGCCGCGGCGGGCGGAGTGGAAGGAGGGACAGGGGAGGCGGGTAGGGGGAGTTCAGTGGATGAGGCGAGGGAGGGGGGGAGCGGTGGGGTAACGCAGCAAGTGCTGCCTGCGAAGGAAATGAAGAGTGGCGAAGGCAGAGACAGCTCTGCAGCAGATGATGCGGATGGTGAATCAACCGTCAGGAATTTCAGAGACGAGGGTTTGGCTGATAGCGCTGGCTCTGTTGTTCCTGCTGACGACATCAAATCTGGCAGTGACGTCATCACAGATGGCACGAAGAGAGATACCCCGGACTCAGTTTCAGCAGGCAATGGGAAGGCAGAGAGAGCTGAGGTGGAAATGGAGGGAAAGGCAGCAGCAGAAACTGCTGACGTGGCAGGAAGCCCAGAAGTGGAAATTCAGGAGGGAGACCATGGAACTGTTGACCTGTCATCTTCTCTAGCCACGTCAGCTGAACCTACTGGTGCAGCAACGTCTGACCTTGAGAAAGCAGAGAGAGAAGGAATGGAGGGAGAAGCGGGAGATGGGGTGGAAGCAAAGAAGGAGGCAGCAGAAATCACGGCTTCAGAAGAAGAACCAGCAGCGGCGGCAGAGGAAAAGAATGGGGGCAACGATGAGGAGTCACAAGCTGCAGGTTTGGGGGGCGAGCTCGAGCGCGAAGTGAAGCGCCTCCTTGCTGACGTGGCAGCCAAGCTGGCCGCCGTGCAGGCCAAGATCCGCGATGCCACGTCAGCACGGAAACGGGCGGTCCAGATGCGGCGGCAAGCAGCCCAGCGAGCAGCAGCCGCAGCGAAACGACTGGAGGAGATAGAAGCTGAGCTGGCAGCGGCGTGCGAGGCAGAGGAGTTTGAGCTGGCGGACGAGCTGAGCCAGCGGGCTGAGCGAGTGGCGGGCGAGGTGAAGGACTGGGGGGGCGAGGTGGGGCAGGCGGAGGAGCAGGTGGCGCGCTGCAGTGGGGAGGTGCTAAGGCTGACAGCGGAGGAGGCGGACCTGGAGGTCAGCGCAGCCCAGGCTCTCAGGCGCATTCACCGGGTGAGTGCAGGCGCGTGGTAGGGTTGGGGGAGTCGGAAGGTGAGGCAGAGATATTGGTGAGAGCGGGAGGGGACGAGCGAGGGCGACAGCACGATGAGAATGATGAGAATTTGTTTTTTAATTATACTCTGTGTTTACCGCTCTTTTTCAACCCACTACACTCGCCTGTCTCATGAATGCTCTGCGCCCGCAATTTATTCAGTGCTCCATTCCGCACTAGCCCATTTCACTGAACCGTCTATTTCCAAGTTTCATACTTCCATCGTACTTTGTTCCCTCCCTACATTCTCGGCTCGTCCCATGCCACCTGCCCATGCCCATGCCACCTGCCCATACCCATGCCACCGACCCATACCCATGCCACCTGACCATGCCATGCCATGCCATGCCACCTGTCCATCTCTGTGCTCTGTTGCCAGCTGCCATCGCCTGTACCTGTTGCTGACACACTCAACCCCCTGGCCTCCCTTCCAATCGCTTCCTTCCTTCCTCTCTTCCCATACCCCTTTAACACACCCTCCCCACCCCCGGCTGCATCGTGCTCGCGGTTCTTCGGCTCCAACCCTTTTGGATTCGAACCCTCTCCTCCTGCATGCAGCAAGCTGCGGCAGCAGCAGCGGAAGCTAAGCAGACAGCGGCGCAGCAGGGGGAGGAGGAGGAGGGGCGCGTGGCAGCAGAGGAGGCTGACATGGAGATCAAGAAGCGCAAGCTGGCAGTTGAGCGGCGCGTGCTGGACGAGGAGCGTGCTGAGCTGGCAGCCAAGGTGGATGCTGCCACGTCAGCCGAGCGCCAGGAGCGTGATGAGCTGGAGAAGGGCCGTGCTGAGCTGGAGGCTGAGCTGGCAGCGCTCATGGAGCAAGTGCGGGCGAAGGAGCAGGAGATCGAGCAGCAGAATGTGCTTATAGCGAAGGTGGATGGGAAGATCTCAGCCGTTGCTGGAAGGTTTGAGAAAGTGAGGGGAGGGCTGGAGGAGGAGGAGAGGAAGGTGGGGAGGATGGAGGAGGAAGTGAGGGAGATGGAGAAGAGGGTGGAGGAAGGGAGGAGGAGGGCAGGGGTGGTGGTGGAGGAGGGGAAGAGGGTGGCAGAAGGACTTGAACAGGTGGGGAGTAGAGCAGAGGAGGAGGCGAGGAGGCTAGAGGAGGCGGTGGAGGGGAGGAGGAAGGAGGCGGAGGAGGAGAGGGAGGTGGCGCGGAGGAGGGACGAGCTGGCGGGGGCGGAGAAACAGGCGCAGGCGGAGCTGGAGGCCCTTGGAGAGGAGATGGGGGAAGTGAAGAAGTGCCTGCAGGTGAGAGGGTTGGGAGGGGTGTTGGGTTGGGAGGGGGTTGTGAGGGGGTGTGAGTGGGGGAGGGGGGAAAGTTGAGGGGTGTCGAGGTGAGTGAGGGAAGGGATGTTGGGGTCAGGATTTGCCTTGGCAGAAAGGGTAAAATTTAGCAAACCCTGCCAAAATCAGGGTGTTTTGAAATAATGAAGTCAGTACCTTGATGCTGTCAGGGTATTTTTGTGGACACCCTGATTTTTCCGAACCTTGTTCTCGTTCTAAAACCATAAAAACATGGATATACACTCTGGATGTAGCCACAGTGGTTTTTAGATCTGGTGATTCTCCTAAACAAGGTTGCCAATGAGGAGACCATTTATTTTGCCTAAACTAACAGGAGACCCCCTTTTCTACGCGACGAACGATGAGACCGGATCCCAATTCACTTCACTTCACGGGGGAGAGAGAGAGAGAGAGAGAGAGAGAGAGAGAGAGAGAGAGAGAGAGAGAGAGAGAGAGAGAGAGAGAGAGAGAGAGAGAGAGAGAGAGAGAGAGAGAGAGAGAGAGAGAGAGAGAGAGAGAGAGAGAGAGAGAGAGAAGAGAGAGAGAGAGAGAGAGAGAGAGAAGAGAGAGAGAGAGAGAGAGAGAGAGAGAGAGAGAGAGAGAGAGAGAGAGAAAGAGAGAGAGAGAGAGAGAGAGAGAGAAGAGAGAAGAGAGAGAGAGAGAGAGAGAGAGAGAGAGAGAGAGAGAGGAGAGAGAGAGAGAGAGAGAGAGAGAGAGAGAGAGAGAGAGAGAGAGAGAGAGAGAGAGAGAGAGAGAGAGAAGAGAGAGAGAGAGAGAGAGAGAGAGAGAGAGAGAGAGAGAGAGAGAGAGAGAGAGAGAGAGAGAGAGAGAGAGAGAGAGAGAGAGAGAGAGAGAGAGAGAGAGAGAGAGAGAGAGAAGAGAGAGAGAGAGAGAGAGAGAGAGAGAGAGAGAGAGAGAGAGAGAGAGAGAGAGAGAGAGAGAGAGAGAGAGAGAGGAGAGAGAGAGAGAGAGAGAGAGAGAGAGAGAGAGAGAGAGAGAGAGAGAGAGAGAGAGAGAGAGAGAGAGAGAGAGAGAGAGCATGAGTCCCTCTCCAGCTATATAAGCTCTCTCCCTCCCTCATTCTTCCTGTTTAGTTTCCAGTTCTTTCTTTTCTCCAACCCTTGGTGGTGGCTCGCGTCGGCGGCCTTCGGCCGCCGATGCTCGCAGCGCGGCCTTCGGCCGCGCGTGAGGGGCGGCAAGGACACAAGGCTACAAAGTCAACTACGACAACATCAAATACACGCATCCGGGGTCTACAACCCTCCAACGCTACACTCGGCAAACAAGCATGGAGAGCCTCACAGAGCTTACCAGAGCGCTCACGCTAGAGCGCACTTCACCAACCAGAACCTACACACGACGGCAGCCCATCATACGGCTTCGTCCGCTCCAGCCTCCTCAAGCAGGGCCCTCACATAGTCCCCCAGGAGCATCAGCGCTGACACGGCACCGCCAACGATGTCTACAGCTGCAGCCGAGTCTACGCTCGCCGATACTGTCCGCATCACGGCGAGCAGGCGCGGGTCCAACACGGTTCCCGAGGCGGGCACAGGCTGCACTCGCGTGGACACGACAGCCAGATCAGCTGCAGCCATCGCGCAGCGCTCGAGCGGATCGTGAGGCATCTTGCACGGGCTCACTGAGCTCCGTAGAACGGAGTGTGAGTCCGTCAGCATCTCCACAGCATACCCCATCGCCCTCTGCGCGTGCCAGAGCCGACGAAGCGTGGCGATTGGGATCGCAGTCTCCGCCAGCCGCTCCCTCCCCCGCAGGCGCTCCAGCTGCGCCCTCTGCGGCATCCGCAGCCCACCCGAGCGACGACGCCCCTGGTCCCCAGGAGGCGAGTCCTCGCCCGTGGACTCCGCTCCCCCCATCTCCGCTGCTTCTGCCCCCCCCTCAACTCCAGTCGGTGACGCCAGCGAACGGCGGGGGGGGACAAAGGGCGCTGTCGCCCGCTCGCCGAACGATGCCGGTGCCACCATCGGCGGTGGGCCACGGGACCATCCCGCCACCGACACATCCGGGGGCGTCGGCTGCCAGGGCGGCAGTATCTCCGCGGACCGCACGTCCATCCGACGCGGATCGAAGGGACCGGCCGAGGGGAGGACTGGCGGAGGGGGTGCGGAGGGAAGGGACGCCAAGAGGTGCTGGCTGTCAAGGAGCGGGAGAGATGTCACACTGCGGGGAGGGAATGGCGGCGTCGGTGCCTGAGGAAGGGGCAAACGCACGGGCGGCAAGTGCGCCTGCTGGTACTGCTGGGGCGCCAGAAGCTGCGGAGAATACGCCAGAGCCTGCTGGGGTTGGGCGACACTGCGGAACAAGCCCTCGAGAGTCGCCGCGGCCCGCCCTAGGCGCCTCTCCGCCGCGGACCCACGGTTACTCCCCCCGCCAGCCCTCCAGCCGACGCGCTGGCCCGAACGCCCGCGCGGCGCCTGCGGAGTCCGGCGCTGCTGCCCAGGCCCCGCCTGTGGGCGGCGCTGAGGCGTTCCTCGGCGGGCGGGATGCTGCTGGCGTGGTGACCGCTGCACCTCGCCACGCGCCACTGGTTCACGTCCAATCTCCACGGCGCGCTCGGGGGATTTCTCCTCGTGTCTCGGGGGCGCGGCAGTCCTGCACCGCGACTGCCCCCGCATCCGCTCGGGAGTCTGTCGGCGAGCCGTCGAGGGGCCGAGGAGCCCGCGCTCCCAATCCCGGCTCGACGGCGCTGGAGGACTCGCCCGACCTTGGGGCGACTTGCTGTCCCCAGTACTCTCCAAATCGGCAGAACGCTCCCGCGCTGGTCGCTCCATCCCGAGGAGGCGCGCCGCACTCGGCACCCCCCACGACTCGGCACGAAAGCCGAACGATGACCAGGGCCGCCCCGAGAGGAAACCACGGAGGCGGTCGCGGAAGACTCAACGCACGGACGGCCGGAGGGCGCGGTCGCGGGGCGGCAAGGCGTGGCAATCTGTCCTCCGATGGAGGACCACTGAACGGATTCCAGCAGGCAGCGAATAGGGCTTTAAATGCCTCGGAACTGCAACGAACAACTGATGAGGAGGAACGGGCGGACGGAACTTATATACCAGGGGACCAGGGAGACCCCACGACTGCAACCTCCAGCGAGGAGGAAAACGTCGAAACAAACAGGCGCGCTGGAGGACGAGAGACTGACCCATCTCCCAGATCCAGGGGACGAGGGTCCAGCCGCTTGCACAATACTCGGGCACCGCTGGACACCCACCCCCAGGCAGCCCAGCAGTTGTCCCCGGAAGAACTGGCGAATGACCCCTCCAGATTCGCCGTCATCGCCACTTGGGACGTCGCAGTTCTCTGCGACAGTCGCCAACCCCCTCTCTCCCGCCGGTTACCCCCCCAAATCCGCCAACTTTTCGCGCTCGCCCTTCTGACACCTCTCCTTTTCCTCGCCAAACATCCAACCTCCATCGAGGGTTGGATCTTGTTCCTTTACCTCCCGCGCCTCACACTTCGCCTACCCTCGCCACGACGCCCTGACTGGCCCGCGACGGAACGACGACTTCGACAATTTCTCGCGGGCCAGTGGGACACACTGTATCAAGCAGCTGCCTCTGCTGTCACCCTGCCACCCCCTCCCCGCCACGTACCTGACACTCTCGGGAAAATATCCCGCGCCGAGGGCTTGGTACGACGAGGCAGTTTGCGACGGGCACTGCTCGCGTTGACTTCGACCCCAGTCAGCAAGTCCACCCCCACGGTCCTGGACGTGCTGAAGTCAAAACACCCCCCTCCGCTTGTCGAAAACCTCACCTGGCCACGGCTCGACGAAAACTGCAGGCCACCGACAGTCGATTTCGCTACGTTCGCGAAGCTGCTCTCTCGCTCCGAAAATGGAGTTGGGGCAGGCCCCTCGGGGATGACTTTCGAGCACCTTCGCGATGCCTCGCTGTCCAACCCCACCGTCGCCACAAATCTTCACCAGCTCGTCCAACGGTTACTCGCGGGTAACCTGCCGCACGAGGTCAGCCAACTCGTTACCTCCTCACGCCTCCTGGCCCTTACCAAGCCCGATGGGGGTACCCGCCCCATCGCAATAGGAGAATGTCTCCACCGGCTAGCAGCAAAATCCGCGCTAATCTCCGCTACGCATTCCGCGCAAGACTACTTCCTACCACACCAATACGGGGTGGCCATCAGAAGCGGCGGAGAAGCCATCATCCATGCCACCAGGGGCTTTACCTCAGCGCGCCCGGGCTCACTCATCCTACAAGTCGACCTTTCAAACGCCTTCAATAGCGTTGACCGCGCGGCCATCATCCACGCAATCAACACCTCGCCCCTGCGCCCGCTCCTCCCCTTCATACAATTCTCCTACGGAGCACCGTCCCTGCTCTACCTCGACGCTGAGTTCGACAGCCCACCCCTACTCAGCGCGCGGGGAGTTCGCCAAGGGGACCCCATGGGCCCCCTCCTCTTCGCAGCTGCCATCCACCCAGCGCTCCAGACAACCGCCGCGGCCCACCCCGAGGTCCTCTGCCTCGCGTACGCCGACGACATCACCTTCGTCGGCGATCCGGACGCCTGCACCTCGGCGTTCCTCAATTTCACAGCGGCCATGGACCGCATCGGTCTCTCCCACAACCCCGCGAAATGCGCGGCGTGGTCAGCCGAGCACCCTGCACCTGACCGCCTTCCCCCAGGCATACCTTTCAACACAGAAGGCGTCCGCGTGCTTGGCAGCTTTATAGGCACAGCCGAGGGCACAGCCGCATTCCTCCGCACCCAGCTAGCCCTGCTAGCCGAACCCCTCGCCACACTGGCCACCATGGACCCTCAGTCCTCATCCCTCCTCCTCACACGCTGCGTATCTCGGCGTGTCTCATACTTAATCCGCACCACCCCCCTTGACTTCCTGCCCCTGGACGTCTGGTCCGACTGGGGTCGGGAGCTCTTCTATACCCTCCTGCGTGCCTGCAACCTCCAACCACCTCGGGGCGAGGTGGAGC